CCGACTTGCTGTGTCCCCCCAACCTTTCTCAAAACCCATTCCTTGGACACTGCAGCAGGCAATAGGTAAAGGAAATAAATTAGAAGAAATTACTCCACATTTTCCAAGAAACATGTAACTTAATTTTATATGCTAATCAGAAATAGGAGAACAGATGAACATAGATAGAGAAGCTCACAAATATTCAAACTCGGAATAAGGTGTATCTGGTGGAAGCTTTGAAAGATGATCTTCTGCCTTAGCAAGAGCTGACTGAAGCTGAATAATGGTTTGAATCCTATCATTCAACATCAATGCCTGCATGTAATTCTTCTTAAGCATCTAGCTGAACAGGATCCTCATGCAAATATAAACACTCTTCTGTCAAGTTGTATTCATTTATAAAAAGCAAGGTACTGTCTGATATGCATTCTAAACTTACAAGCAATAAGATAATTGATAAATAATGCAGGAAAATTACATTTGTGTGTAATTAAATCATTACATCGAAGGACCCTTCCACAGAAAACTTACATGCCCTTTATATCTATGGGCTCGAAGGAAATCAAGTAATGGTTCCAAGGAATCCCTGTTACGGAACATGCTCGAGGACAGGTGACGGTTCAGGAATTGAACACCATTCCCAATCCATGAAGATCGGCTAGGCCGAGGGACTGTTGTGTTGAATGGCTCAAAGTCAAGTTCAAGCACAAAGTGTTCATCACCCCTAATACATCATGAAGACCAAAAAATGCAATAAATATAACAAACATTCCAATCCAGTCGCCAAATAAGACTCATATAATCTACTGTTTTCAGGTAATTGAATGCTACATACGCATACCTGACTATGTGTTTTTAAGTGTAAAGTTATGGACTCATAAGGAAGTTACTTACTGTCCATTTACAAGCTCCTCTTTAAAGTGAAGATATTCAGAAACAGTCAACTGCTCCACATTAAGTTCATGGACGTTAACGCGAACATATTCCCAAACACCAGGTCTTGGACGAACCGCTATAGCCACAAATGGAGGCAAGACTATGGCTTCCTGTCAGCAATTACAAAATAAGCAGAACTCGAAAGGTTTCGCTTATTAAGATAACCTTTTGAAATAAAGAAAACACAAAAAAAAAAAAAAAAAAACAAAAAAAAGATGCAGTATAAGCAAAATTAACTCTAGCCAGGAGATGATGATTCTGCCTTGATGCGGTACCAAGAATAGTCCGTATAATTGGCCTTTATTTGTTATGAAAATTATGATGAAATCAACAGGAAAACAGACATAACCAAACACAACTACAAACTCTTTAAGCAGGATATTAGCCACTAAAACATGATTTACATGAAACGGAAAATTCTTCAACGGATCAGTGATTTTCACTTGAAAGATTAACAGGTTAACAGATCCGTTCCCTGGAAGGGGAAGTTAAAATTTAAATTTCATTTGGAAGATTACTATCTATAATCAAAAAGAGAACCAAAGAAATTACTGCTTGTAGGAAAAAAAGACATAAAATGGAGATACAGACGAAAAGTTCACCATTGCGGATTTAAGGACTTCGCTGAAAGGACCATCGGCGAGCTTTTTCTTCGTTTCATCCTCGGCGATGATATTCTCGAACTCATCTATCAAAGTATGAGGTTGCAGTAGTCCTTTACCCTGAGCTACATACCTTCAAAATCGAACAAGCAGTCACTATATAAGAATAAACGGCAATATCAACTAATGATCAAACGATAAACTAAATTTCACAATTTCTCTCTTCAACATTTTCCTCCGAACTAAATAGCGGTTAACATAACTAGAACAGGAAAAGAAAGAAATGATCAGACGGAGAGGCAAGGAGAACCTGGAGAGAAGAGAAACCAGCTCGTTACGGTGAGCGGAGAGCGTATCCTCCACGCGATCTCTCATGCTTGGTACTCGGCTTAACTTAGGGGTCGCCATGGATTGAATTTCTTGAATTCACAGAATTCACAACGTGAGAAGGAAAATGCAAAAGCTGTTATGCTTCACTCTTAGCCGTTAGATATCCGATGATACCTTCCTCTGGTTTTACCGACTGATGATTGCAGAAGTTTCATGAACGACTTTGATCATTTGAAAATAAGAATTGATAACCAAGTTTATATAGTGACAGAGGAGGAAGTGAAAGACAAAATGTATTTTGAGTCTTTTTTCTTTTTAATGAATAAAATTATTTTTTCTATAATTCCATGGATAACAATTTTCCGCTTCCATTAAATTACATTTTACACTTTCAAATATATATATTTATGTTACATTTTTTTACTTTTAATTAAATAATATGTAATATTTTACTAATAATTGATTAAATATTATTCATAAAGACTATAATAAATATTTATTAAGCTGAATCGGCACAAAAATAGGAAAGCGAAAGAAAAGGATTGGCTGATTAATGCCTTCATAAACGTGATGTCCTTTTTCTTCTCCGGTTTTTTCATCTTTACATATGTAAAGTATTAAGCCAGAAACGTTTCGATATTAACCCGAAAAAAAAAAGTTAATTGGATGTGAAAGGTGGTGCCAGAAATTTAGGCAAAGTAAATTGGGAAGTGAAATCAACAGAAGAAGGGACACGATGTCCTAGCGGTGTGTACGTCAGGACAAAGTAGTTGTTACACTCGCTCATGATTTCATGCCACGTCGAGATATTTTATTTTTATTATTCAAAATAAAAAAAATAAAAGAACGGAGTGGGCCCAGCCCTAAAGATTCCTTTTTTACCCAAAAATTACAGCTTTTGTAGGATCAAACTGGACCTACAAATTTTTCATTCTGCTAACGTCATTATTTTATTTTTATTAAAATTATCTATATATTTATAATAATTAATTTAATTATACTAACAATTTAATTTATTAATATATAATTATCAAATTAAATTTTATCTTCACGAATATTATTAATATATTAATGAATTAAGTTATTATAGTGAAATGAATTTTATTTAAAAGAATTATAAATTAATTTTTAAAAATTAAGTTACACAGAAATTTCTGATTTTGTTCCTAATTATAATGTGATGAATTAATTTTAGTTCTTTTTCTCCACAACAAAAATTACAACCAATCTAATTAAATTAGTGACTGCCGACATCATTATTAAAAAATAAAACTTTTTTGTAATTTATTAAAAAAATATATATGCATATATATTAGAATCAAACAGTGATTATTATTATTATTATTATTTTTTTAAAAAAGGCTACTTGAGAAAAGAGGAAAATAACAATTCTTTCGGTGCTCGGTGTACTTTATTCTTGTAGCGGTCTTCAAGGTGGGATTGTATACAATAAATTGTATCAAATGTAATTTTAATTTGCTTGTTTTCCTTTTTTTTTGTAATTTAGATATAGAATGTAATATCCGAGTCTGAAAATTGTTCCAGAATTTTCATTTTAATTATAAAAAAAAAATTATATTAATAATTAAATTAATTTATTTTATTAAAAATTTGTGAAAAAATAGATTAGGGACGGAATTAAAAATAATTTTAAAAAAATAGATTAAATTTTGAATTTGGGAAGTTTTTTGAAAAAAAATTTGAAAACAAGGGGTTAAAACGAAAAAAAAAAAAATTAACCACGTAGGACAGCGTAGTCAACAGTCTTGGCGAACCGGAGCATGTCACGTGGCAACCCCACTGACATTGGCACCATGCAGGAAGGCACGCGAGCAATTCGCGTGTCCAATAATCCGATGGTCCAGATCTCATCCCACACGCGTGAACGGCCTAGATACGTTTCCTCTTTAAACGTAATCAGACGAACGAGATAGATAGTAATGAACGGCTTGGATTCGCCCACGCCATCAGCCTAAACGGGAAACCATCGAACGATCCTTCTCACTCCACATCAACACAAACAGACGGCTCAGATCGAAGAGGAGAGGTTATTTAAACTCCTCTTCGCAAGGGAACCATACCCTAGCTGCCAGCTCCTCATTGGAAAAGAAGAACCTGACGCCAGAGAAGAAGATCGGCCCCCGACCGCTGCCGCACCGGAGCCACTGTCAACCGCAAAAAATGTAAAAATTTTTGCTTCCCACTCGAAATTTGATTCCAAGTCTTCCTGTGGCATATTGGAGCAAAAAGAACGGCGGGTGAGCTAGAAACTGCGAACAAAGCCCGACGAAGCTACAGCAGCTAAAACCCTAAAACTCCTCTGGTGAGTCCCTTCCCATTTTGTGTTTCATATTATTCTTTGACCATTGTGTTTACTGTCCCTTTTTGTGCAGGTTAGCTGAAGGAGAACCCAGCCGCGAAGGAGAACTAGCAGAGTCGTCGCACCCGAAGACCCCCCTCCCACACCGATAGATTCGTTTTTTTAGTTTTTGCGGCCAATCGAGACTTCTTAACGTGTTTTTTTGCAGAGTTACATGTAAAACCGACCAAAGTCAGTCAGTCCAAGGTGAACCGTCGCCGTGGGCAGCGGAGCCTGCGCTTGAGCACGGTGGCGTTGCCGTGCCGGAATCTTAAAATTGGCCAGAAAAGTTTTCGACACCGATTTTAGATTTTTGGGATATTTTTGGATACGTGACAAATATTTTGATTCCTGTATGGAAAATTCAGAAAAATTCAGGGCCCGCTAGGAGGCGTAGTGTATAAGAATCTATGTATATAAAAGCTTACTGGGTACCCTAGGAAAAGGTGGACGGACCCGGTATATAAGAAACCCTACTATGGATATTATCTAAGTCGAACGGGGCTGCGAAATTCCTTACTAGAAGGGTTTGGAAAAGATGGTTCACTTTATACCGGATGAGAAATCGAGCGGATGACATGTTGGCGCCTATTACCGGACGGGGTATGAGGACGACCGAGTTAATTATCAAATTGAGATACTGAGTTCACGAGTAGAGGGATATCCCTATAGAACCCCAGGGATCCTAGTAAGTAATTTAAAAATGAAGAATTATTGATCTTATACATTAAATTTAAATGCCATTTGGTTAGTTGTCTTTATAGGTTGACTTTTGAAAAGCCATAACAGTAAGTATGGAATTAAACGTTTTAAAATTAAATGTATTTACTTAAATCAAGAGCTCTATTAGTTGTTTTGTAATTTTTACAAATTTTCAATTTTTCATATCAATGATTAATGTGATATTTTTACTGGACTACTGTAACTCATATTTTTATTAACTATTTCAGATCAAGAAAACTAAGATCCAGATCCCGATCTGCAAGGGTTGTGAGGAGATCACCTATCGGACTCTCATTCTAGTACTAGTGGAGGTTAATCCATTGGAATATCTATTTATTTGTTTTGATTATTGTTTATCTTTGTTTAAGAACCAATGTAGAAGGGACATTCCCGTAGTAGTATTGAACATTCTAATTTATTGTGTAAGGAATGTAAACCTAACTTTATTGTCCACTTCCACATTTAGATAATAAACCCTTTTTTTTTAGTTTCAAACTTTTATAGTTGGTATCAGAGTCACGTTCCTCGGAACCATACCTTATATAAAGACTTAACAATACCAAATACAAACTGTCATTTAACTCTTCCTTGTGAAATATAGGTACAAGGATATGAGAAGAGAAAGGCCCCTATTAAACCGAGCAGCTCAGGATGGTTCACTTCGAGAGGATGTTAATCAATTATTTGAGATACTGGAAAGACTCATCTCTGCTCAGGAGGCCCGGGAGGAAATGAGGGAGTTGTCTAACCTTCCCTCGCTGCCACAGTTTGAGCCACCCTTACAATGAAAAGATCTAGAGCCACCTTTCGTACAACCCTGCTCCTCCATCGTATCATCCGGCACCACCACAATACAATTTAGTGCCCCCACTATACAACTAGGTATCGCCATAGGGCCACCCGACCCATCTCGAGCACAATTCAGTCCATCTTTCACAAGACCTAGTTCAACTCATAATGGACTCAGGCTCCATTAGAAGGTATAAAAGACTAAACTCATCTACCTTTGCAGGGGCATCTTCTTTCGAAGGGGGTAAGTATTGGTTAGCTGAGATAGAGAAGACCTTTGCAACTCTTGGGGTGATTCTTGAACAGAAGGTTGTACTTGCCAACTACATACTTGTGGGAGAGGCACGTTGCTGGTGGTAGCTCAAGTAGGCCACCATGCCCATTTTAGTCACTTGGGAACAATTTCTAATAGCCTTCAATGCAGAGTACCTCTAGTGCACCTTCAGTATTTGAAGAAAATAGAGTTTGCACACCTATTTTAAAGTGATATGAATGTGTTAGAGTATGTCTAAAAGTTCCTAGAGTTGGGCTGGTAGTCCCAAGAGTATGATGGATGAAGGAAGAAAGGTAAGGAAGTTTAAGTGGGGCCATCTTCTTGAGTTTAGACAGCAGTTGTACGTATTAAAACTTAGCACCAACTCAGACATTTTGGCAAAGACACAACCAGTAGAGATGAACCTTTGGCATTTGAAGAAAATGAAGTTTGTATACCTAATATAGGGTAATATGATTGTGTCAGAGTATACCCGAACGTTTTTAGAGTTGGGTCGGTATTTTTTAAGAGAGTATGATGGATGAAGGCAGAAAGACAAGGAAGTTCGAGTGGGGTCTTCGTTCTGAGATCAGACAACAGCTATACGTATTTAAGCTCAGCACCTACTCAGTCGTTCTGACCAAGACACAGTTAGTAGAGCCAGTAGTGAAAAATTCCAGACCCCGATTCCT